ATGCTTGCATCTATAATGTGTAGTCCACATCCCATAAGGTACTCTCCTCGACTATTAGGGTACGTTGTGTAACCTTGTCTTTAATATTAATTTTACTCATAGTTTGACTTTTTTTTTTTCCAATAATAAACATTTGAATAGGGAGGTTGGATGTATTTTGTTCACTCCCGCTACACGCTCTACTAGCTAGATTGGTCCAATATTAATTGACCCGTACTTGGACCTTTGAACTTTGCGGCCCAAGTTGAGTGCTTTGCTTTGCTTAGATGGCGTTTGCGTGCAAGCATTAAGGCTCTATCTATGTAAAGAAAACTTCACGGTCCCCTTGGCTCTATCTATGAAGAGAAAACTTCATTGATGAATGTGTTCGTCAGTAGGACAAAGAAAATAAAATTTTAGTTTGAGGCAATTAGTAAAAACTTAATTAGAATTAGAAGTTAGAATGATGCTTCTTGGCAAACCTCCTGGCTCTCTTTGTATTTTTACATTTTAATTTGAAATTAAAACTAGTTTTCAACTTGATTGACATCGTTTTTTTGGTTGGGATATTGCATTAAATTGTGTTTTTCAATTTCTCTTGTTATATAATTGTTTGTGTTCTTAGTCATTCTTCAATTGCATTTTGCACTCGGAGTCCATCAATTATTAGCATTTTATTGTTGGTTGAATTAATTGGGGGTAGTGTGAAATCGGTATGTCATAGGTGTCAATCAATAGTAGCATCAGGTGATCGTTAACTTTAGTTGGATGGTGTGAAATGTGTAGGTCGTAGATTTAGGTCTGGCACATGATTTGGTTAGTTTGTTGACGATCTCTGTCAGTAAAACATCTGACTTTCTCGACCTAACTTGTATTCCCTCCTTTTCGATTTATGATCCTCTTTTTTAGTCAGTCCCAAAAAAGAATGACGCTTTTTTAAATTTGAAAATAATTTAACTTAAACTTCTCATTTTACCCCTTAATGACGTATTCTATAGCCATGCAAATATAATGGTATGTTCAAAATGACGAACGGCAAAAGTCTTATAGTTATACAAATTTTATAAAATGTTTAAGACCACACGTTTCAGAAGTTGTTTCTTTCTTAAAATTTCATATCCAGTCAAATAGGGTTACGTAAAATAAAATGGAGGGAGTATCATGCGGACTTAATGTTTCCATTAAATGTTAGTCTGGCAAATAGCCTGTTTTGCCAAGGTTATAAAATCAGCTTATTTAAAGTACTTTTCAGAAAAAGTTCTTCTGGTGATAAGCAGTTTGTGTTTGGCTAATTAATTTGAAAGCACTTTTGAGCAGTAATTAGTGTTTGGCCAAGCTTCTAAAATTAGCTTATCTTGAGAAGCGCTTTTCTCAAAAGTACTATTCAAAAAGTGCTTTTGGTGATAAGCAGTTTGTGTTTGTGTTTGGCTAATTAATTTGAAAAACACTTTTGAGTAGTAATTAGTGTTTGGCCAATCTTTGAAAAACTGCTTCTACGTGTATTTTTCTCAGAAGTGCTTCTCAATTGGGGAGAAGCTACTTCTTCCTGCTTCTCAAAAACTTCTTTGTGCTTCTCAAAAACTTCTTTGTGCTTCTCAAAAACTGCTTCTGCTTCTCCCCAAAAGTACTTTTTTCCTTCTAAAACCTTGGCTAGACACCTCAACTTAAGGAAAAAAGCACTTTTGGCCCAAAAAAAAAAGCTTGGCCAAACAGCTATAAAATCTCATTAAATTGTCTCATTTATTATTTTTTTTAACCAAGACTGATCGGGTCCTCTTACCGGGAGCTGTTGTAATCCTCCCAATGGTGCTTTTCAAGTGTCCTCCCCCCAATAAGGCACCATCAGCCTGTGGTGTTATATTAGAGAATTTTATCTAGCCAAAGTGTTAATGTGCCTTTGTAGTCTCGCGCTCTTTTTGAACAGGAACAGGGTGGACAATTAGAGGAATCACCTTAGGCACCAGAGGAAAGTTAAAAGGTCCATTTACATGATGAGAAGGCATTTACGATGTGAGATCCACTTTGGGACCAATATTGATTGAGTTCATGTACGCAAGTTGTTTTAATGTTAAAAGTCATACTCAACTAGGAATATCATCAGTTATTAGCCATTGTGTCTGCTGTTCATATGTAACATTGACTTAGGTAAGACAACTTTGTCATGGGCACATTTTGCTACAGATGTTTTATGGTTGTGTATTCATCTCAATTTAGGGAGATCTGCACACATCTATGCCCTTACCCTAGTTGCTCACTGGAAAGGGCATAGTAGCAGATTATTGACTATGAAGCTCCAGCTTGTGCCCTTGGCGCTAGCATCATTTGTAGGTTTTTAGTATCTTACATTTGATCAGGAACTAACATTTCTCTAGTTGTTCTATGGTGCCTTACAGGGTTTAAACTAACTTAACTATTGTCTTTACCTGTGTCCTTGTATTATGGTTGCACTGATGCATTCTTTGTGTCTCCCTCTCAGGCATGGTAACATGCTGATACTGCATAGTGTGATATACTGCCTTATTTTCTTTCATTTGAATTGGCTCTGCTTTCGGGTTCATTAAACTAACTTAACCATATCATATACCTTAACTCCTTTTTTCCTTGCGACATGCTGCATTATGTTCTCCCTTTCAAAATTGCTTCTGCTTTCGGGTGCTATACCTCTGCAGTTCTTTGAATTTCAGTACCTTTATTTTTGTGTAATAACCATGGGCTATCCCTCCAGCTTTTAACTAGTAACTGAATTATACAGATCCACCTCCTGTTTCTCTCAAAGGAACTCGTGTTGTGTTCTCTCCCATTAGCATTTCTCACCCATTTCTCATTCATGTTATTTGGGCAAAGGTAACGCTTCTTATTTCCCCAAAAGAACTGGCTCTGGTTATCTGATCAACTATTCTACTGTATAAAAAGTCGGGTTCTGTGTTTTTTATTTTACTTTTATGCAACTAAGTCTATATGACTTCTTTTTGCCTTTCTTGGCGAAAAAAAACTGATGCATGCGACTTTGTATCAAAAGTTTGTGCTACTGTTTTACCTGGGTTAGATTGCACTGGGATCCTTAGAAAGTTTAAGTTATCTTAGACTAAATTTTGAGCTAATCATTAGAGAAGCTGAAGAGATGGAATCTCAGGGTTTTGGTGATTGCATCTAGTATGTTTTCCAACTCTTGATCTATGAGACTTTGCACTTACCGAGAATGCTCTAATGTAGATTATAGAACTCTTAAAGCATCTAGAGTTTTGAACGGAAGTACTTCATGCTAAGCTACCTAGTGATCAGATGCTGTAATATAGACACTAAGAATGTGGAATTTTGAATGGAACTAGTCATGCTAAGCTTCCTGGGGATCCTGGAGATCACAAAGATGCCTTGAAGAGCTTCATCGTGTTCAACTCTATGCACACTGAAAATTGACGCTGTTGATATAGGCTATGCTTCCTGTACACTGTAATCTTGTAATGTCATACTTATGCAGCCATTGCTGGTCATTGTATAGTTGCACTATTTTTATCCCGCCTGTGTTTCTCAGTTCCCACCAGATGATGCTTCTGAATTCAGGTTTCCTTCTTACAGTGTGTGCTTCGTGTGTGCTTCTGGTGACCCTGTCGGCTTTGGTTATTTTCTTACTCACATCCTTGTTCAGAATATTTATCTCATCTGAGATCATATATCACTTGTTACCGGGTAGGAATCTCATTGCGTTTTCTGGCAGTCACCTTGCACAATAAGAGTAACAAGGCAATCACCGACGCTTGTTGAAATTTTGTTACTTTTAGTTACTGCAGTAACCTTTTTCGCATAATAAGTTGCTTAGTTTTATGATGAATTTCAATTTTAAAGTTTTATTATATTGTTTAAGTTAGTTGAGATATTTTAGGTTTTTTGGTTTTAAATTATATGGATTATTTTGTTCCTAATTGGCTATTTAAAGCCTTGTTATGCTTAATAAAATTATTGAGGGACATTTTCAATTAATACATTTAATTTTTTTGCTGCCCCATCTTTTAAAAAACCAACAACACTTGTAAGCTAGGCCACTCAACTGGTTAAGAGATGAGCTATAACCACTTCCAAACAAACTGCTGGTCGCACGAGAGAATTGGCAAAGTTATGGACAAAATTCACTAGAACACATGTTCAAATTGACTGAAATGGAGACTTAGCTAGGAAGTTAAATAAGAGGGTCCTAGATCTCTTGAATCAATAGAATAAAATACAATGGAAGCAAAAGACGTATCTAAGTGATACAAATTAATTGAGATTTCAAATATGTGGATTGATATGAATAAATGGAGCGGCATAGTCAATGAGGATTTTTATAGAGGGTTTACTTAACTTTTTTTTATAAGAAAATAGACCTCTAACTCAAGAGGTTAGAATTGTCGAAGACCATGTAAGGAGTCCAATATCCCATCCCACAGCTGATGTGGGACTCCACTTCTATTTTTTCCATTGAGGTGTATTTGGTTGATTAATGATTAATTGTTAATCAGTTCAGACTCGATGTCGAATTAAAGTTTACATCCCCCTGTTGGTGTAAGGTAAGAGGGCGGTTTTGGTCAAGTCGAGTCTGGATACGTATGAACAGTTCCTGAACCATCATGTTCCTCTCTTGCACAAGTAGTTTGACCTGTAGCTAGCTTCTTATCTATTCGTTTTCTTACTAAGGAATGACGCCCTACATTTTTTTGAAATCAGATAGTAGCTATAATTGCTTTGCGGCTAAGAGAGTTATCGTTGTTCAAGTAGTTTCTAACAGTTCTTGCTCTTCTAGTGATTGACTAGTATTGGTTGTAACATTCCAACCGATTGTCCAATGAAATTGTGTTTTTGATAGTGCACTCCCTAATCAAGATGGAAATTTAAGAGAAACTACAAATTTGTTGAGAATTTTTGCATTGTCTTTTTTAACTACACAAAATCTTGCTTCGCGCAAATATGCACTGTAAATTGTGGACACCGTTTCCTCTTTGTGTAGAGTGGCTAACACACTGATGACAAACATAAATGTGTTTCAGTTTGACAGGAATAATTCAACGATATCACAGAAACGTGAAAGCAGAAGATAAGGTCTCTGCAGAAGTTAATGACACAGAGGTATATGACTAGTTGACTCTACTGTCCTCTTATCTCCTAATAAAGGTACACCATAGTAAATAAATATGAGGTTAGAGGCAAATGCTTTTATAGTTCTTTGGTAACTAGGAAGAAACTCCATGGCTGCTAAGCTGATACAAGTACATGTACATATGTCAATGATTAATGTTTGTATAGTTCTCTGGTTATTTCAAAGCAAATCCATATATGCTAAGTTAATACAAATCTTTGCAGGGGACTCTGACCTTTAATGCATCTTTATCTATCATGTGTCAATCCTAGGACTCTAAATGTAAATGTGAAGTTATCTGATGTTATCAGCTTCTGCCCCACTCTGATAGAAGCTTCAATATAGTATGCGGTAATTAATGAAGGTGTTCTACATCATAAATGAGTCATATATATTATATCTTGCTCTTCGTTCATCTGGAATGTGTTGTTATACACATGGGTTGTACGTCATCAGAACCAGGAAATTTGTGTGACAGTTGTCCAGTCACATACAGCATGCAAACTAAATAGTAATAAGAGACTTATTCAATATGTTTCCATTACCTATCTATATTACAAAAATCCAGTTGGTGAAACTCTTCTATCAATGTTTGGAGGCAGGAATCAAAATATGCAAGTTTCATGACAATGGAAGAAGTGCTACAGACGGTAGAAAAGTACTGACCTCTTGCTGCTCTTTTCTTTGCGTTTCCCTTGAAAAGCATCGTTCCTGATCCTCGATTTGACAGGCAACTCGAGGAGCCTGATGTTGATGATCTCAGCATTACTGATCTTGTCCATTTGGAAAACCAAGTTGAGACTGCTCTTACACAAACCAGATCTAGAAAGGTTGGATCTTCCACATTCCTCTGTGCTTCTTACTCATGCCTAGACTTGCTCCATCTGTTACTCTTGCTGTAGCATTGTGTTATTTAAGGAACAGCTGCCCTTCTTGAAGCTTAAAGCTTACACAAGTGGTAGTTGAAGCTGGAGAAGTCTGTTAGCGTGGCGCTACATCAGTTGTATTTCATAAACATTGCAACCCCGCACGGCGTGTTTTGATCATTTTTACCCAATCCTAGATTTAATCTTTTTCTTTTGTTTTTAATTCTCTGCATCTTCTTACTCTTCGATTCCTGTAATACAATTTCTTCTCTTTTTTTTTTTTTTTTTTTTGAGTTGTAAATCAGGAAGAAAATCTAAACTGCTAACCTATTTTGTTATGTGCAGACACACTTGTTGATTGAATCAATTAAGAATCTTCATGACAAGGTAGGCCTCCATTTTCCTGAGCAGGTTTGCTTATTTTCTCAATGAATATGTATAGCACCTTGGTAGATTTGATTCCTTTCCAATCTCATCAGTTGATGCACATCAGTGTAGGCAAGGCACTAATGCATGTGCCTCATTGCACATAAGTTCTATCTCGAATAGACTGGTATTAAATAGCAAATGTCATATGCAAAAACACATTAATTATTAAGGAATTCATTATGAGTGAAGTGGTTACTTACTCTTGCATTACATATATTTTTATTTTTTTCCCTTCATTGAGCCTTTAGTAACTAAAGCCCACACTTTGCGCGTTGGGCTTAATGCCCCAATACCGAAGTGCTTTTGAATGCTTTTTGCCTTTTACTACACAGCAAGAGCTTATAATCTACTTGAAAGGGTATTAGAACATTGAAAAAGTAAAGCTGAAGACATGATAAGTCGAAGAGGTTATCTCTCATTGAAGGCGATAGATCGAGACCTTAAAGTTCATCAAGCATCCCCCCTTATCCGTTGCTGTCATTGAATCGAATAGAAGTCATGGTGTCCTTGTGGCTTTTATCCCTTGATTCTCAACTCTCAGTTAAATGTCTATAATATAGCCATCTTATATCCATCTCAGCTCTGTAAAACTCTTTCTGAATTGTCGAGTCATACCTGGAATGCTGTACTCATCCTTAGTTTCATGTTAGGAGTAGTGCTTGCATGCCATGATCATAATTTTGAGGCTGTTCACTCAACAAAATGTTTCCACATTAGAGTTTTGGATTTACCTAGGTCCAGAGATGAATCCCACTGCTAGGCTGAACAAATACTCGAGTCTAGACCAGTACAGAACACCTAAATTTGAGAGTAACTTTACTGAGTTCTACTTTGTGCGTATAGCTGGATGCCATCTTGCTGTCAAAAAATGCTTCAGCTGATTCTATTCAATTAAGATTCTCCAATCTCCTGAAAGGGCGTACGAAGATGCAAGGCCGCCAACTTCTCTGTAAATGAAATTAGGCAGATAGTTGATCATCTGGACGAGGATATGCTATCACGAGGATATGCTATCATTTGATTGTCAACCAAAATCCCTACTTGAGGCTTATCATTTTTCCTGAAACAAGTGCATAAAAATTGGTTTACCCTTCCAAGTTCTCACTAGTAGATCATCTTGCTGTCTACAGCTCTATTTAGATTTATAAAAATTTCAAGTCTTGATCCCCTATTAATCAACGGAGGACTGTACAAATATTCTGTGTCCCCTACTTATTAGCAGTTTCTTAACATAGGTGTTGCATTTGTTGTTACATTTAGTGTGCTAGACATAACATGAAACTCTATTTGCAGGAGAAGCTGCTGAAAGAAGAAAACAAAGTTCTGGATGACGAGGTATGATTTGCCGACTGATAAAGCTGCAGTTGTGCTAAACATATAATTGTGGGGACATATTTGTGTGATTGACTTATGTGGTTTTACAGATAGGTAGCATCAAGAAGAAAGAAGCAAATGAGATGGCAGTGGATCTCAATAACATTGCACCAACCCCTATGGATTGTGGACAACAGAGAGAGACCCTGATCTTTCTATAGACATAATGAAGGCGGCATCACACATATCATATCAAAGCTATAGCAGCCTTCCCAATATATTGTAGGAGAGCAGCCAGTCTAACCACCACCACCACCACTACTACTAGTACGTGGCGTTCTATTGTATTGTATGTGTCTCCTGCTATAGTTGAAATACTGAAAAGTTGTGTGAGGAGCAATAAGGAGATACTTGCAGTGTCTCGAAAACTCTATCTAGTGGTGCCATCTGAATGACTAGATAAAATTTTCAAATTTCCTTGGTATCAGAAGCGCTTTGAAAAATTGAATGATCAGAGAAGTGCTGTAAGAGGCCAACGGCCTGTGTTTGGCCAATATATTTAAGGGGTGTCTTGCCCTTTGTCAATAATATAGAACCAGTTTGTGTCTCGTTAATATCTCAAAACTACGGACGTAAAAAGATTCATTTTTAATTAAAATTGTATAAATAGATAATTAATGTTTATTATTTGTGATGATAGGTTTTAATTAGAATTTCAATTTTATTTAACTGAATATAAAAGTAAATTTTAGTAAGACGTTTAGTATATATTTTTATGATAATTTTACTTAGATGTTCATGTTTATTTAACTGTGTATAAAAGGCAAAATGGCCTTCGAGCCACTTAAACTTGCATCCATTTGTCAACCTGGTAGATGAGCTTAGAACTTTTTCATTTAAACACTTTAGCTTAACTAAATGACTATAAATAAACATCCACGACCATGCGTGTCGTTCAATCGCTTTTGACATGAATTGAATACATAAGTAGCCCCTTAAACTTGTCTGGCGGTCGGAAAGAAAGACGACCTCACCTTCTTTGGTGTCAGTGAGAGCTATCTTCAATGAGTGGCAACAAGCAACCTTACTAAGAAAGGTGCTTGTTGAGTAAGTAGATTTTCATTCAGACACTTACATCTATAACCTATTGAACATCATTAATACTCAAACTGTACTTAACACGATGACATGGCAAATATTTGATTCTTACACTAAACTAAGCGCATGAAATAACTTTTTGGTGAACTAGGACAGATAATTTCGCCGCAAGATATCAAATATCACGGGAAAATGACTTTTCCGGCCATTTGTGTCCGTCTTCCTCCTGTTGTTCTTCTATACTCAATTTTTCTGCCTTTTCTTTCAGCCATAGATTCGAATTATTTTTCTGCTTCACGCAGGACTTTCAGCCACAGATTCAAACTATTTTTTAGCCATTTTTCACTCATAGCCGGCTTTTGTAGCAAATTCTATTTGTTCTTCGCCGCTTGTTGCTGTTATAAGCGTTAATGGTAGTATTGACCACTTTACAAATTTGGATCCGACACAAAACCTCGATCTTGATTTTATCTCGTCGTCGTCATTAACAGGGAAATGGTTCTTGTCGTAGGCGATATACATAAGGAATTTTATGGCAGAAACCGAGGTCGAAATCGGGGAGAAGAATCGAAACTTGTACAAACCAAAAGCAAACTTTGGTGGCAAAGAAAGAGAAATCTCCATTGGTTGCAAGATTGGAGAAGATCCAGGTTGTATTTAAACACGGATAACAAAACGGATCGGTCTTAGCGATCTGCATCCTGGTCAGATCGAAATCGCGTTCCAGACGGTGAATATTATCACGACACAATGTTAATCCGCTAAGTTGTTTTCTGTTTTCCTTGTTCTTAGTCAATATTTTCACTTATTTTCCAACAAGAGGGAACATGAAAGAATTGGCAAGTGTGTGTAGATCGAACATGTAAGTTGACTAGACATGTCATTTGATTCTCCTAATTAGAACTATAGTGTGTTCACCATGCCGAGGCAAAGAGTTGGGACCAAGTGTTTGAGCTATTAAGAAATGGATCTTGAGTGCAACTTAATCTCAAAAATTAGTAATATTTAAGTAGATTATATATAATGACCAGTTTTATATCCCATAAATGATGTGAGACAATTAGCAGGCCTGGGCTACATAATATAGGGGCTTGACATTTGGTAAACAAAGAATTGGGATGAGTTTGAATTTGATATCATGTTAAAAAATAAGCTTGGGCGCAACTCAATTTCAAAAGTAAGTGTTGGAGATAAAAATTGTCCAAAATCACATGAAAAGACTAATTCCACATCTCACGATCAATGTAGAACAACTAAAAATCTATATGAAGCACTCCTCGTTCTAGTTTCTACACTTAGAGCCTAGAGGTTATCTCGGCAAAAGTTTGGGAGCCTTAAGCAGAGGCGGAGCTAGAATTTGAAGCTTATTGGTTCGGGATTCTAGTTCTTTTAAGTTACTGGGTTCTAAAATAACAATTTGTACATATTCCATGAATTTCACTAGACAAACACGGAATCTGCACAAAAGCTAATGGGTTCGGCCGAATCCGTAAGCAGAGGGCTAGCTCCGCCCCTGGCCTTAAGAGCAAGGCTATGAACAAAATAGATTTTTTCAAAGTTCTTTTTTCTGCTTTTCTCTTTCTTAGTTCTTAGTTTATGTCTTATATTGTTTTCATGGTTATGTCTAGCTACTAGAACTTTTTTTTACGAAGTTAGTTGTTGAACATGATATTAACAATATGGTTCATAGTTTTATTCGATGAAGTGATTTTGCTTTTAAGATTTATATGTATATTCAATCTTATCTGTTAGTTTTACTGATGGTTAATAATTGTGCACCTTTTATGGATTTTAGGTTGAATTTGAAAAAGAGAACTTGGAGTTTTTGATTGAATGATGTAATTCCGTAAACTTAGGAATCAGGATGAGTAAATAGACATATACTTGCTCATCTTATGTAATAGTTAATTCCAAAAATATACTTCTTCCTTTTCAGAAAGAATAAATTATTTTATTTTCTTATTAATGCATTCCAAAAAAAGACACTTTCTTAAACAAAAAAAAAAAAATATAACTTGAACTTTTCATTTTACCCTAATAAAATTTTTTATAACCACATATGTCATGGATTGTTTAAGGCTATAAATTTCAAAAGTTATACGGTCATACAAATATTACTGTATATTTAAGAGAAAAGTTTAAAAAAAAATCTTTTTTTACTTAAACACCGTATACAGTTAAACTATGCTATATAATTGACTCATATGGAGTAATACGTTTTTGTTAATTCTATTTCATAGAAATAGAGAGAATCCTCTGGTTGATTAACATAAAGTAGAACCATAACTGAATGGGAAACTACCGGCTATGTACATTTATAAGTAGTTTATTATAAAAATTGGCCGATTCATAAAATATTACTAATATTAGCCAATTAGCTATTCGTAGCCAAAAAAAGGTCAATTTTTTTGCTTTCTTTTGAGTGGGTGTTATTAGAATAGATTGGATGCATCTTAAAGAGTTTGAATCTCAGTTTTGGGATGATTTGGTGGGAGTTTTGAGGTGGTTTTAATTGAAAATTCGAAGTAGAAGATGAACATGAAAAAAAATGATGCGTGTATCACGCTGTGTACCACTTGTGTATCACATATGTATCGTATTTGTATCAATTATGTATCACATGTATATCCATGTATACCTGTGTGTGAGATATATACGTGATACATGTTTGATACATGTGTTTGTAGAAGAATTATTTGAACTCGATTTTAACTACAAATTTTGATACCAAATCACCTCTAATCTTCCTCAAATTTTGTATTGACTCATCTATATGTTTTCAATGAATTTCAACCATACCAATTGAAAAAGATCCTTTTTGCTTAAATTTTTGGAATATTGTATATTGTTTTTGTATTTCATCACCTTATTTGCTGCCTCATTCATGAAATTTTCTTTCTGTCTTGCATCTAATGTTGCTAATCACGCTTTAAAATGTAGAAGAAAATCTTTACATGTGATTCTTGGAGAGAAAGAACCTTATTTATTTGGATTTTTAATTTTTATATGTGCTTGGCTAGTTTTGGTAAATCCATAATTAATGGATAGAGGTTTAGTAAATTGGGACTTAATTGGGAGATTTCTATAAGTTTCCCTAACTGAATTGCAAGGAAAATTATAGCTCTATTTATCAACTTCCTTAAACGCTTGAACTCTTTGCATTGTGGGAAATTTCTTAAGTTTTCATTTTTTTAGTTTTAGATTAATCTTCTTTTTTTTTTTCGGTTGAACAGTTTTATATTAATCATTCTTGTTTTAAGTTAATCATGCAACCATTCCTGGAAAAGTTGACTTTTAATCATTAGCTCATTTAATTTAACACACATTTCTCATGGAATAATATCATACACATCTTATATTACATGTGCCAAATCACGTTTACTCAAGAGTTAGCAATAACATTCCATAGATGTCCTACAGAATGAAAGCGAATAAATCCATTTGGGTGGAAAAAGAACACCAAAATATATTCCGGAAAAAAGCCTTCCTTTTGCGACGACTTGTTCCCCAAGAAAGATATCCGAGACGTTCTTTAGTTTATCAAAACTAGAATCCACTGAGAGAAGATTTGGTCTAGGGATGTTTAGAATTCCATTTTAGAGTTATGAACTATTATCGCCTCGTGAACTAGTTTTTAGAGTTGAGCTACGTTTAAAATTTATTTTTGATGAAATATATAAACGGTCCCTTTATGTTGTTTCCAACGACCAACTAAATACCTCAACTGAGTCCATTTCCATTTAGACACTTCAAGTGATTATCTAGTCATCTTCCGTCGCGTGTAATACACTTTTTGAAACTATTTTAAGAACTAATTAGTAGTTGACACGTGACTATACAATAAGATGAAAAAACTAAAAACCTAATAAATGAATAATTAATAATCAATAGAAGTCCTGATAGAAGTTTACTGACCTGGCTCTTCAGTCGACCATCTACTGCTCCCTCTTAACAGCAGATGCCCATGCTTTGATTCGAAATCTCTAACCAGTGATGAATCCCCCTTCGAAATTAAAGGACCAGCACTCCTCTCACCATCAGTGGTAATTCCTCCCAAAATCATCTCTCTCTGCACTTTTTTTCAAATTTGTCATCCTTCAATCCCCAAACTATACCTTTATTCCAAATCCAGTTTCTTACTTCGACACTTCTAAGCAATAGATTATATTGCTTCCCAAACTACACCTTTGCCGCTACCTAAATCGCCAGCTGAATTTGTTCTGGATGAACATGGTAGAAACTCATGGCTTCCAATAAGCGTATTGCTACGATAGCGAAGCATTAATATAGAAGAAGCAACGAGACTACGAGAGTACATAACGGAAAAAATATATCATGAGGAAGAAAGGAACATAATTAGCTAGCTGTAGGGCTGTGCATAATTTGGTAAATACCGAATTACCGTACCGAGACTGAAAATTTTGGTATTTGGTATTCGATGTTTTGGTATTCGGTATGGTATTTGGTTTAAGTTCTAAAAAAATTGGTATTAGGTATGGTATTTTAAAATAAAATACCGAAATATAGATACCGTACCGAAATATATATTATATTACACAATACACATACTACTAGTTATAACATAAATATAAGCAATCTAAAATTTACTTTTCTTTATTCTCTAAGTTCATCAATTAACTCTAAGCAAGTAACAATACATTTCTAATGATCAAATTTATTCTTTTATGTATAGTTTTCTTTCTCTGGGTTGATATTTGTTGGTTTTGGACAAAGCTTTTGTCAACAAACGTTTTTAGTTTTGTACTTTCAAGTACTTTAATTAAGACTATTACCATCTATGACTCTATGCACTAGTTAGTATTCAAACCGAATAAACCGAAGTTACCGAACCGAATAAACCGAAACCGAAAGGAGAAAGACCGAACGATGCCGAATTTAATTAGGTACGGTACTAGTATAGCATTTTAAGAATCCGAATACCGAAAATATCGAACTGAAATGTCTAAATAGCGTACCGTACGGACCGACGAACACCCCTAGTTAGCTGAAGAACAATTTGAAAATAATAGGTGAACTGACAATTAGGTTCATGTTTGGAGCGGGAGTGAAGGCTGGCGGTCGTCGCCATTTTCCATCCTAGTCGATGGCGAAGGTTTTCTAGTGGTTTTGTTTGTTCACAGCTTCTGGCGTCTTGCTGGTCGAGACTAGCGGTGATGGTAGTTTGAAGAAGTTGCAGAAAAGAAGAGGGAGCGGGGTTGCCAACCGGCCATCTCAAGGGATTTCGGGTGACGGCGGCAACTGACCAATTTTTGCCAATCTTTTGCCTGAGAGTGCACGAGGCCTGGAAAATGCTTTTTTTTTTTTTTTTTTTTTAATATATGTTGAAAATTTTGAAGAAGGAGAAGTAGAGATGAAGGTAAGTGGGGTCCACATAGAGTACGGTTAGGTTCATGCGCTCAGATATGAATAAAAAGCATACGCTTCGCTATGTTAGCATGAGGGATTCATGAGTTACACTTCAATGGAGAACAGGTGTCAAATGGTAAAAGGGTCATTTACAGTGTCTGTCTGATCGTTATAGACCACTGAAAAGGAATGTTTAACTATTTTGCCTTTATTTTTCGTAATATCAACAAAGTTACATCAATCCATCTTTAAAGTTGGATTATCTAACATTATAACCTGCATGTTATCTTATAAACGCTCTAAATTTTTTGTCCAAGACATCAGAAAGTTTCACATTAGTTAGGACAGAACAAATGTGGTCTCCAATTAAACATCAAATTACTCTTTCATCAAGAAAATGTCTTAGGTTTACGCTGTTCGTTTGATATCAGATTATAAAACATAATCTCGATATAAATTTTGATATTATTGTATCCTTTGTTTGGGTGCATTTTTATTTGTAATATAAGTAATACAGATAGGTAAAATTTTATTTCGATCACGTGGTATAATTTTATAACCATGCAATGTGGGATAACAATCCAACAAGTAGTTATTCTCGTATTAAAAAGAAGTAAAATAACAAAATGTCCTTCTACTAAAGCTCTCCAAATTTATCTCAAATTCTTTTTGGCAAATAATTTATCTCAAATTTAAACTGGACGCGTGACCGTATGCCCCATTTTTAATGAAATGAGCCAAACAAATTTTAAGTAACAAATAAGTAATTCAGAAATTATTAATTCATTAATGTTATCCAAACATTGTAATAACATAATTTTTTGGAAAGCAAATGAATTCCAAGGGTTTGTTTGTTGTTTTACAAGTTGTTCTGGTTGGGAATTTTTGGTTTCTAGCATTGAGTTCTTTAATATCATTTTAGATTATATAGTATCAGAGGTACATCTATATCTAAAGTTGAGTTATGTAGCACCCGTTTGGCCATAATTTTGGGTATATTTTTCTCAAAAATTGAAGCCATAATTTGGGTATATTTTTCTCAAAAATTGAAAACACCGTTTGTTCATAGAACATGATCAATTTTAGAAAAAAAAAGGATTTTTTTAAGTTCCCGAATACTGGTTCAGGACAATTTTTGGGTGAAATTTTTTTTTCCACTCACAAAACTTAATGCATGTTCAAACACAATTTCAACTTACAAAATTAATTTTTCAACGCAATTTTAAAAATACTTTTTTTAAGTTTTAATCAAATCTATGTCTAAACGTTAGCGTTAGGACTGAAAGTTATTTTACCAACACTTTGAATTTTAGTGGCATTAGAAAGTTTCATATGGGTTAGGATAGGAAAAAGTGACCTCACTTACGAGGTCTCCAATTAAACATCACATTGAGTCGCGTGTCTTTCATTCGATAAAATATCATTAGTTTAACTTTATTCATTTGTTTATCAAATATAACAACTAATCTAGGCATTGATTTTGGTATTATATTGTATTTTTATTTTCAATAATAGGTAAAATAATTTCATAGCACATCCAATGTAGGATAACAATCCAAGAATTAGTTATTCTTAGATTAAAAAGAAAAGTTACATGGGTTCATTTACTTTGTGGGAAAAGTATGTTATTAAAATGAAGGGACAACAATACAAGGATAATATGGGTGGATAACTGATTTTAAATGGTTCATTATCCAACTCATTTTTTGATGGATAATATGGGAGGATAACTGTTGTCTTCTAACCATTATGCCACCTGTAGTAACAGGTTTCGTCAAAATTCTATTCAATATTTTTTGCTATTTTGTAATTTAAACTGATGTAAGCAGAATTCAATTGGATAAAAGAAATTGTATATTTACCTGTACAAGCTGGTTAAGGAAGAAAAATGCTGAGAGAAGTTGATTGGCGGTCGAAAAAGCCCTTAGTTTACGGTCAACTGTAAAATGGAAGAACAAAAGGGCGTTTAGTTTGAATGGCGTAATCACACCTGCATTACTCACAGTTACGGCGTTTAATTTCATATATATATATATATATATGAAAGGAAATCAGAAAAAAGGAGATATGAAAAGAATTACAGTTGTCATCTTTGAACCGGAAAAAAAAAAGCAGAGTGGTAAAAAGAGGTCACCAAAAAAAAGAAAAAACAGTAAATTACACTACCGTTGAATTGAGCCACAGGTAGCTAGCTCATTGCCTATGGAAGTAAGGACATTTTCGTCATATTCGGTATGAAGGGCGAGTACGTTCCCGTCGATAGTGTGTAAAGGGAGGAATTGACAAGTGTCGTCGTTGCTCGATCGCAATTTAGTTTATGGGTATTATATAGAAAATAGAAAGGCCAGAGCTGGGTAGTTCGCTTCAGCTCTAAGAAATAGTAATAGTACTAGTGTTAAAGAGCAGCGTCAGAGATGAGGGGACTGGGGGGTGCAGGTAATAAATAGAGGACAGCCAAGTATATTTTGTATATGCCAAGTTGGAACTTATCTTGGCTTGTAGAGCTCCAACAGAGCCAAGTGTATATGCCAAATGGCCACATAATCAGCTGATTTTTTACTCTTGGCTTACAGCGCTCCACATGTAAAGTCATTGGCAAAACTCTCTCTCATGACTCACTTACTTAAATATCTCGCCCTTACTGCTTTACTAAAGTGGAATTCCAATTTTTTAATTCTAGGTAACAACAATATTGTAGGAAGCAGATACTATTATTATTTGATTGGCCTACAGATACTATTGTAGAAAGCAATTCAGAGGCGGTCCGACGAATTTTGTGGCATAAATCTAAATTTTATGAAGGGGCCATTTTAAAGAAAATTATTTATTTATTTGAAGTCTATTTTTCTAATTTTTCGTAGATACAAAGTTATTACTGATAATTTTTTTATAATCAATAATTCCTAATAAGTATTTCTCAATTGATAATATAACTAATCCACTTAACCTTTCTTGAGACATTATCAACTTTAATTTTGAAAACATCTTTCCACTGAAGCACCGGTAACTAGGGGTGTCAATGGATATTTAAAAACCAACTAAACCGATCGAACCGTACCGTACCGAACCGATTTTTAGGTTTCTTTTAATAAAACCGTAGGTTTTTATATAAATATATAACCGAACCGATAATTAGAGTAGATTTTTTATTTTATAAAAGTAAACCGATAAAATATCGAACCGTACCGATAAATTTACAATGTGAAAAATATATTTATATATTAAGTTTAAAAATGATAAAGCATTAAAAAAAAATTCGGGACCTTGGAATTATGAAATAGTTACAAGCTAACAAGTAATTAAACTTAAAATCCTAGTTCCCAAATCTATTATGCTACTCCTATTGAAACTAAATTATTTCCAGCATATTCACTAGCAAAACATAAGGTATTGTAGCGATTATGAGTAGAAAATTACAATGTATTGAATATGTTTCCTTTCGTATGATTTAGATTTATCTTTCTGAATATTTAATCTTCTATAGACTTTATTCTTGAGACCCATCTTGGTTAATATATTTCCACTCGTGTGATTTATATTTTTTGTATTTGCTTAGTTTCTTTTACGCTGATGTGAATAGTTGATGGATCTATACTCTAGCCATCTTTTATATTTTCTTAATTTATCACCTTTTAAATTGTAAAAATATCTAGAGAGTTTTGCTAAGTCCTATAAAAGTACGTACGTTATTGCATTCTACTTCTAGTAGTAATTTTTACATGATATTTAAACAAAATTACCGAATATTTACCGAACCGTATCGATACCGAAGAGAAACCGACATGATTGGGACGATTTCGAACCATTGACATGACATTTAAAAAATAACCGGCCGAACCGAACCATTGACACCCCTACCGGTAACAAGAGTTATTAACATTATTCCATAAGCAATACAGGTATTTGGAACAGAATCAGATCTTTCTATTTATTGAGTGTATCAATTAAACTGTTATCTTCTAATTGTACTATTTTTCTTAATACTTGGAATAAGAAAATAAATCTAAATCATCAACATGGAATTGATTATTATGCTTTAAGGAACATTCAAGATTAAGGAAATATTTTTTTTCAAATTTTCATCATCTAGTGATCTTATTTTTTACCGCTAAATAGAAAATCAAAAATATTTTCATATGCTTTGAATTGCTCAAATCTATTTTGAAGTGAAAAAATAGCCTTGTTTACTATGTATAAAAGTAATCGATGGGTACGTAAGAGACATCTCTATTTTTTTTTCCGGGGAATCTTTAGAATTTCCACTACTTAGCTTTTAGTTCACTCCATCAAATAAAATGTGAATAACCCGTCCTCTAAAGGACTCTTCGAAAGATTTTGAGATTTCATTATCAACATTCTCATCAAATTGTTACTTCCTATATATCACACGTTGCTTACGAAATTTGGGTTCGATATACATTTCAAGTGCAAACTTCCTCGGCAAAAATCATAACAGTTGAAAATCCTTCTTCTCTATATTTGTTAAAAAAGAAATCGAACTTTTTCACTTCACAGAACTTTTTTTAAAACATATACATAACCTATTAGGTGTAATAAAAAATGGGCCCCCCACAAATATGGGGCCTAAAACAATTGTTTTACTTGCTTTATGGAAGGGCCGCCCCTGAAGCATATACAACATTGTAGAAAGCAAATAAGTGAAAAAATATTAAGGACAATTTTATGTATAAAGCATGTAAAACATGTGTTATATCTTAACGGTCAGTTACCCCGTTAAGGTACAACACATGTATTACATGCGTGTACTGAATATTTTGAAATCTATGGTATAGCACATATATTACATGCGCCATAGTTGAACCTAAAAAGTTGGTCAGGTATAGCACATGCGCTATACATAAATAAACTAAACGTTCTCTTCTTCTTCCCCGACCGTTCTTTCTCGGTTCCCCCCCCCCCCCCCCTATTGTCTAATCTCCATGGAGCCCACCTTTTTCCCAAAAATCACGTGTCGCTATAATTATGGAAAAAACACAAGATTCATGGTTAGATCGTGGTGTAGAACCTGATTTGTGCTCGATCTGGTAGAAAAGGCCGCGCATATTCACCGTTCAAAAAACTTCAACAAAAAAAGGCATTTCGATAACTCTTTTCTTATTAATTGTTTATATTTTTGTGTTTAATTTGTTGTTATTAATTTATGTCATTGTTTTTGTGCGTGTTTAGTTAAATTTTTTTTTTTTTAAATCCGAATTTACGCCATCATTTTTTTAAATCCGAATTTATGCCTTTCCGTATAACTTGTGATAATATGCGATGTTTTGTGATATATTAATGTATTTTTACTTTTTTTTCTATTTATGAAATTGTGCTAGAATTTATTTTATGTATTAAATTTGTTGAATATTGCCTAATTGTTGAATGTTGTCTAATTGTTGAATATTGTCTAATTGTATAACAATAATTATTTGCCCGTCAGTAACATAGTCCTTTATTGTAAGCAATTACGGATCATAACTATATCAATTACTAATCTTATACTAAAAGTATGATCGCATATTAATTAATTTAGAACACAATAAGATAAATAAAGTTAATTATTTAATGTTCTTTGGCTAACGAATAAAAACATAAATATTTGTCAGTACAAATGAGACCTTGACATTTTGTCGTAAAATATAAAAAAGTAACATATAAATTGTTACGAATTAAATAAATGATCAATAATACTTTATACAAAAATAATTAAAAAAATATTTTAAAATATCTCGAAGTTAAAAAAAAAAATATTTACTGTTCTTTTAACGATGAATAAAAATATAAAAAATTGTTAGTACAAATGAGACTCTACCGAATTTTAATCGTAAAATCCTAAAAACTAACACAAACTGTAATGGAATAAATAAATACTTTATAAAATAATAATTAATAATATAAAAATTTGTGAACTAAATAATAATATAAAAAGTTATGAATTAAATAAATAGTTAACAATACTTCGTATGTGTAACGATCCGACTGGTCATTTTGAGAGTATTAGCGATCCCCTATTTATTGCTCCCTCCGTTTCATTTTTGTGATTACGTGACTTACCGGGGTGCTTGGTGTCGGGTTCGGGAGAGTATCGGAGTGGAATGAGACACATAGTCCCTAAATTGGAAGTTTAAGTCGTAGGAGACCGTAGTTTGACTTGTGTGAAGACGGTACCAGAATAGAGTTTTGGCGGTTCCAATAGCTCCGTAGGGGTAATTTTTTGGGTCTTAGGAGCGTGTCCGGATATTGATTTTAGAGGCCCGTAGGTCATTTTCAGAGTTCAATTGGCGAAAGTTGGAAATTTTTTGGAAAGTTTAATCGAGAGTAGACTTTTTGATATCAGGGTCAGATTCTGATTCCGAAAGTTAGAGTAGGTCCGTAATGTCAAATGTGACTTGTGTGCAAAATTTCAGATCAATCGGACTTGATTTGATAGGGTTCAGCATCGAATGTATAAGTTAGAAGTTCAAAAGTTCATTAGACTTGAATCGATGCGCAATTCGTGGTTTTAGCGTTGTTTGATGTGATTTGAAGGCTCGACTAAGTTCGTATGATGTTTTAGGACTTGTTTGTATAATTGGTTGAGGTCTCGAGGGTCTTGGGTGTGATTCGGACCATGTTCGGCGCATTTCAGAACTTGAAGGTTGCTGGTTTCCTTATATGCGATCGTGAGAGGGGGATCGCGATGCGTAGGGTCTTAATCTCATTGTTGTTGTTGTTTGACTTGGCACAAAGTTTAAGAACGAAAAAGAAAACTTTTGAAACTTGTGATCCTAAAAGCTTTGTGGGGCCGTGATAGTTGTATGAATGTAAGAGCTTCTCATTACGGGTAAAATGAGTAAAATAAAAAATTTAAAGTTAAATTATTTCCAAATATGGAAATCTATCATTCTTTTGGAATAGACTAATAAGAAAAATACGTTATATAAATTAAAAGGAATGGAGTATTTATTTTTGAATCATATTGTATTTTATTTGTTTGTATCACCGACTATATATGGGGTATAATATTTAAGATTATGCCAATAGTTATTCATATAATTTATTCTTTTTATTTTATAGAATATAACAGGATCATAATATTATTCGCACATTGTGCGGGTACTAATACTAATTTGTAAAAAAAAA